AAAAAAAAAAAAAAAAGGAGATGATAATTGAATTATCATCTGTATGCTCACAGTTCGCAAATTTAACTCAATTCCAGGTCATTGCTTATCTTCAGACACATATAATCAGGTACCTCTTGGATAGATATCTTCACTCTAACCTAATGTAAAAAATGAACTCATCACCTCCCTATCCTTCTCCAAACTTGTGCCATCTCTTATGTTTCCCTACTTTCAATGACTAGTACTACCATTCATCCCTTGCCCAAACCTAAAACATAAGCCTTATCAGTTCTAGTGTCAGACTTCCTGGGTTCAAATCTTAATTCTACCTTTTAACTTCTGTATCTTTCAAAATAGAGAAAGTAATAGTACCTACCTGGTTATCAGGAGTTGAGGATGTAAAAATGTAATAAATGGATGTAAAAATGTACTTAGAGTAACTGACATCAAATCTTGCTCAATAAATATCAACGGTTATTTGTTTAAATCGCCATCATCCTGTGGCTGGATCATTTCAACAGTCTCCTGAGTGGTCTCCCATTAGACTACAAGCCTGTGATGAAAAGGACTATTCTGTAGTTAGAGTTGTTTACCTAGTACAATTCCTGACACATAATAGCTCTTGGAATTTGTGAATTAATAGCAGAATAAGAGCCAGAAAAGATGGGTAGTTCATTTTTTCCTTAAAATATATGCATTTTTCAGAGAAAAAATTGGAAAACAAAACAAATATAAAGAAGATAATAACATTTGTGATCAGCACCCAGTGAGAACCAATGATAGGTACATATACTCCTCTGGATTTAGAGTTTTATATCTTGAGTTTTTTTTTTCTTATCATCTCAAATCATTTTTCTGTATCATGTATTTTTCAACAATATGATTTAAAAGGCACATTCCAATCATAGAAATAAATACTGTTCACTGTGGAACATTTGAAAAGTACAGAAAAATATTAGGAAGAAAAGTAAAACTCTCACTCACTATCCCACAATAACCACTTTCAACATTCTGCTGAATGTCCAAATTTTTTTTTTTTTTTTTTGAGGTGGAGTCTTGGCCTGTCGCCCAAGTTGGAGTGCAGTGGAGCAATCTCGGCTCACTGCATTCTTTGCCTCCCAGGTTCAAGATACTCTCCTGCATCAGCCTCCCAAGTAGCTGGGATTATAGGCATGTGCCACCGCCGGCTAAATTTTGTTTTTAAGTAGAGACAGAGTTTCACCATATTGGCCAGGCTGCTCTCAAATTCCTGAGCTCAGGTGATCTGCCCCCCTTGGCCTCCCAAAGTGCCAGGATTACAGGTGTGAGGCACCACACCTGACCTATCCTAGCCTTTTTTTTCTATACATATATAGTCATACTGTATAATGTATTGTTTTGCATCAATTTTATACTTAATGTTTTATGAATTTTCTATCTCTTCTATAACATTTTGCAGCTATTAGATTTACCATAATTGTTCACATTCTCTCACTTTATACCTGGCTTTTCAACTTAATTTTCCCTATTTTAATAACAGAGGAGGCCGGGCGCGGTGGCTCAAGCCTGTAATCCCAGCACTTTGGGAGGCCGAGGCGGGTGGATCACGAGGTCAAGAGATCGAGACCATCCTGGTCAACATGGTGAAACCCCGTC